TCATTTTAGGCACAGGAGACAGAATTTACAAACTTCTCAGCTGTTTTGAGACCCACAAAGGAGCATTCAACCAGAGCTTCCTGACGGTTTACCTAAACAATGGACCAACCATGACACTGCAGAAACTTTTCTGTGAGATACTTCTTAGATACTTACATCGCCTATTTACGCCTTTTCTTCTGTTTTTCTGCGGTCTCATTCCATCTTTCTCCGCGACTTATCAGGTGAAAAAACAGCGATCATTGTTATCTGTTAAAATGTCTCACGTTTTCGGCGAACAAGACCGATACATCAGCCCTGCTTCTAATATTTTCGAGGGAGAATCTCTCGAACGATTACTATATCAGTGTAAAGCAAGCACTGAAGCAGTCCCCTCTCCTTCCATATGTCTGCACCACTAGCAGGCTTAGCTCGTTGCAAAAATTGCCCCCGGCAGGCACGTAATCGGAGATCTTAGCCTATTATTAATCGTTCTTACCGCCGCAGTTAACAACCTTGTGGTACTTTCCCTCATGCCTCGAGACCACGAGTTCAGGAGCCTTCTTATGACATCTGGGTAAATTAAATGCAGAGGACCGAAGCGAGAAGAGCTAATATGAACTAATAAGAACTGATATGAAATCCTTGTCCACTCTGGCACGCTCCAGACGCTGTCGTTGACCACCCCTTAACACAAAGCCTTTCGCAGCCAAAATAGGCATTCATATTCTTAATTTGCCTTATAAAAGACCCCGAACACCCCCTGAAAACTGATGTTGTCAAGGTTAATCGTGGTCAAAACCGCATAAGGCCAAGTATGAATCAGTATGAGTGCAAGTGTTGGTTTGTCGATTTCCTTTTCTGACTAGCAAAGACAGCCAACTCAGTATGAGGCATAATTGTAATTTCTTGCCTAAGTGATGTCCTAGCATCTATGAAGCTGGAAGGTTCCCACAAAATAAAAAGGGGTTGATTTCATCAGTCGTGACATGACTGACGCAGCCTCAGCTTTCCACACTTTTCGGCTTTGGCAAGGCCCGACGGTGGCAACCAGGCCAGAGAATATAACGCTGAGCTTTCAAATTCATGACGGTAAAGTACTCGTCGCTGGAACCATCTCATAGAATACTAAAGAACCAATCAAGGGGTTTTATCCATTAAACCATTTTCTGGGCGAAATTCCTCTATGAATAATGGATTATGAAGCTTGGAGTGATAATAAAACAAGCGGAGGTTCCAGTAAAAAGTTATAAAACACTGAAATGTCCACTACTAAATTAGCGCCCTGTGGACAGGCTGCTTGCACGCAAGAGGGCACGTCTGGTTCGGCCTTGAATCTGATTGGTCAGTTAGAAGGTCGAGTAGGCGAATATCAGACACCCCTGGTGCGCACGTGCAGACACTCGCAAGAGACCCAGAATTGAGACAGCTGCTCGGAACAGGGCTACTACATACGCGCCCCATCCATCTCCTTCCATATGTCTGCAACACTGGCAGACCTGGCTCGTTGCGAAAATTGTCCCGGCAGGCACGTAATCGGAGATCTTAGTCTATTATTAATCGTTCTTAACGCCGCAGTTAACAACCTTGAGGCAGTTTCCCTCATGCCTCGAGACCACGAGTTTAGAAGCCTTCTTATGATATCTGGGTAAATTAAATGCAGAGGACCGAAGCGAGAAGAACTAATTGTCCCTACGTTACGGTGGTGGATAAGAAATCCTCGTCCACCCTGTCACACTCACACACGCTGTTGATGACCACCCTGTCTGCATATCCACCCCTTAAAATAACGCCTTTCGCAGCCGAAATCGGCATTCATATTCTTAATTCGCTTTATAAAAGCCCTAGCGAGCTCCTCGCATATTGCGGCCGCAAGACAGAAGTGAAGCGTCCGGGAGATTACATCGACACATAAACCACACCTGGCCGGAGTTAATAACTCTCTAGCCAGCGTTTTACGAAACAGCTGCACGTCCGACTGTTTGCCATGGACGCAGTACATTCCCACTGCAAGCACTTCACTAACGAAGGGCTGCATAATTCTACCCAGAATTGGCGAGAATTGTTGCTTGAACCTCTTACGAATTAGCGGTCTATCGATTGCTAGATATGCATGGGGCAGGCACATAACTGTATAGTTAACTGTCTTACCAGTCCCAAATTAACGTGCATATAGCGGCAGGCTAGGTCGAAAGTGAGACCCTGGCTGCCACGACCTTCAGACCCGATCCCGAATGGAAAGAGAAGGCGGTCGCCAGTGGGGAGGATAATATATTCTGTACAGAATAGCTGGAGAAGGAGTCGGATAGAGTTGGCAGCCGGCCGGGTGAGCGGCGTCCCAAGTCCGAGGGAATGCGTCACAGCGTCTTAAGCCAGGACACTTCTGACTCGGCCTTGAATCTGATTGGCTAGTTGGAGAGCCGAGTGGGCGAAGGCCAGACAGCCTTGGCATGCACTCACAGACACCCGCAAGAGCCCCAGAGGCAGCTGCTCGGAGCAGGGCCACTACATACGCGCCCCTACCCATTGCCGTAATCGGTGTCGCAGTGTTTGCCCCATCCATCAGCGTTTGCGCATCTGAGGGCAGGTCCGATACTTCGGCTGTCGGCATCTGTCTTAAGATCTTCAGAAGACCTGACACATGGGTTTGCGGTATTTGCGAACGTACTGCTCAGGTGCGCAAGGCATCACGTACGATTGGCTCCTCTTCAGATGACGGGGTCCTTGGGGACTCCTCACGTCCGCCTTCTATGCTATAACCGTTACATCCGTCGTTTCGTCAGAAGATGAAGTATCGCTGCCGGACGATGAACTGTACGAAGGAAAACCGTCCCATGAGGATGACGATGAGTCAGACGGATGTCTTTCCGTCTCACCCTCGGCAATTTGGCGCAACATTTCATTGACTTCTCGGTCAGCACGTCCCCAATATGTTCTCTTCGATACTAGTTTCAAAATACTGCTAAAAAGCGTTAAGCATTAAATACTAATGGTCAACAGAAATTGCTGCGTCAGGAGAAAAAGGCACACAGGAAACGGCACCCAAGCGGGTGCACGAGAAAGCAAGCACGTCGTCTGATCGATTAGCCCCTCGGCAAACGTGCTTTATTTGTGTCTTTGTGACACGAGTGCTAGGCGCACAACCAACCAACCAATATTCAGCGCCGACTAGAGAACGAAGCAGGAGACACGACTCTGATGCCGTTGCTATTCCACGGAATAGCTCTCTATTCTACACGTTTTAAGCATGACAAAAGGAGGATCGTTGTTATTGCTTCGGAGAAGGCAGTCGGTTACGTCCATCTCGTAGGGCATTAGTGAACCCCGTCACTCGCCACGGTCTACGTGTCTCTCGGATTCTTGCGGTGGCCGCCGTAATTGGGTCTCTCCGACTTCAGTTCGTCTGATCTTGGCAATAACATTACCAATAGTAATAAAATGGAGATCAGCATGCCGATTGAACAATTCTACTTTCAACATTGGTCGTTGGCCGGTCACGGAAATATGAACCCCCGGCGTTACGGGTGACCTTGTGCTAAATTCCAGAGATAGGGGTGTTATGGTTAGTGTTAGGGTTGTGAAGGTTACTGTTAGGGTTAGGGTTAAAGTTGGGACACTGGAATAGACATAACCCGGGAGTTAGCGCAAGGACGCCTGTAGTTTCACGGGTCCATATTCCCGTGTCCGAGCGGATCGTGTACTTTACGTAATGCTTCAGCAAAGCATCATTGGGCGCTGGAATCAGAGACGCGACCTTGAAATTCCGTGGCACGGAAGTTTGGGACTGCACCTTTGGGCGCTAACTGACTCGAACGTTATTGAACCAGCTACTTTCAGCTGGTTTTTGGGATCGAGTTAGACTACTTCATAGGAGATTACAGCTTTGGCTGGTATTTTGGTTTGGTAATAATTAGTAGGATTGCGATATTCTAGCTTTCGCTTGAACATTTTCCACTCAAGTAATTAACATATTTTCCATCGATTTTCAACGCATGTGTGTGCTTTCTGCTACTTTGTCAGGGGACTCAATGAAAAACCACTTCGTTTAGACTCATACGAGTATTTGGCTTTTTATAATTCCTTAATTCTTGTAATTGTAGGGTTGCTTCCGTGCATATTAGTGCACCAAGCTATCTTCACTCCCCGCGACGAAATCAATATCCACTGCAATAGCCTCTGGGTGGTAGAAGGTCCCTTTAGGGGGGCAGGCAGGGTTTTGTTGATTTTCTACTGAGGATATGCAGACGTGTAGTTTGGAAATGTTACGAGGACATAAAAACATAATTTTGCTTTAAAATATGCAGATATGAGTAGACGTCTTCGCAACCGACAAAGCCCTCCTTTAAACTACAAAATTTGAAGGAGAGGAACTGTCCTGTAGAGCGAGTAAAATAGATCGATTTATATCCAATCCTTCTATAAAATATGAGTGAATTCACGCGAATATCAAAAATCGATGGAAAAATGATCACTAAACAAGTATATGGTTTCGAATGGCCTTAATTCCCGCAAGAGTATAGAAAGGAACTCAACCGAGGGGCAACACGCCGCAGTGTTTGATTTGGCTGGGGGGGAGGGGGGGTTGGTTCTTACTGATCAGCTTTCTGTTATATTTCACCTAAGTAAGATCAGAGCGGACATTTTACCAAATACGGCCACTTCAAATGACGCAGCCTACAAGCAGAGTCGGCAGTCGTGCAGTCCGTCATGGGGACAGCAGCAGGTTGATGTTGTTGGATTGTCGTCGGTGAGCCCTTCCCACACCCAGAAGTTACAACCGTAAGACAGAGGAATATGATCCCCTCTCCCCGTAATTCAGGTGTCTCTAATTCTACCTTAACCCTCATGTGAAACTCAACCCTAGCCTTGACCCTAAGCCTTGTCTCCCTGGAAGTTGACGCAAGGACATCTGTGTTACGGGAGGTCCATATTACCTAATCCTGCCGTTACAATCGAGGGACCGAGGTTAAGCTCCCGCAGGATGCAGAATAGGGTTCTGCCGGTGTGTGACAGTCCCTAATTTATTCGTCCCTGTCGCTCGCTATTGGTTCTGGAGCTGACGACTACGCGCGGTATTCCAGGACTCTGTTATCAATCGTTTCAGAGGGGGTCCTGCATCCTTCCCATTCGCATGCTGCTTAGAAACATCAGCGCGTCAGTGCGAGGAATCAAAAGTTTTCCGTTAGATTTCGTGCAGACAGATTGCAGTCTTCGGTTTCCCGAAGAGGTAACATTCTGACGTATAAAACATAGATAGGCTTATGTACGGTAGAATGTTCTGTGTAATCGAAGTTCGGTTCCCGAGACCTCTGGCTCACAACTTTGAGGTAGTGCCTCGAAAAGTATTAACGACAAAGACGAGGGAGACTGGGGTTACCTGATAGCACTAGTTAGCTATGCAGAAACTCTCCGGCTGGAGGATATGGTATTTAAACCCTTAATCCGTTGGTAAGTGGGTCAGATGTTCCACCAGACTGACCACAAGATCACGCTCTACTGGTTACAACCGGTATATATCTGTCTGCCAATAACAGTTCGGCCTTAATTGCACATGTCCATCTTCTGTATATTTGGCAAACCTTCTCGGTTATTGGTAGCCCCTTGCTATGAGACCACCTGCGAAATCTCTACACAGGAGCTGCAAGGGTAAAACTAAACACTCATATTCCGTCTCACAATCAAGACAGTTCTGTGGACGACATTCTTATGTGATCCCAATAAATGTATTGTCCAGTAAGCAAAACCACTGCTGTTGTCTCTGACTGCATTTTGATCTTGTCAGCATTGGCCTGCAAAATTTAAGAATTGGAAACTTAACCACAAGCTAAAACCAGGACTATTGGGAAGCTATCAGTTTACTTCTTCCCTCTTCTTTTCAAACTCACAGTTAGCACAGCGTCCTTCTTCACAAACCAGGGCTACTGGCAAGTGGGCATCTACACCTCGCTGGACCACAGCTGCCTCAGCTTCGTACTGGCTGTCCTCCTGTGGTTTACGATCCCCTTCCTCTACTCTATGTCCTGCGGACTTGGCTACCTGGCGCTTACCAGTGCTTCGCATGAGCACATTATAACACATCACGAGGTCTACGAAGGTAAGGCCCTGGAAATGCCTTGGGAATTACACATACATTTGTCAGCGTGTGCTGTAGAATAACCTAGCACAACAGAGAGACCAGATTGCATATCCTTGTGTGCGCGCCTGTTTGTTCGGCCTCAAAGGGCACACGGACTCCGAGGCTGGAGATAGGGGTATCCAAGAGGTAGGCGGATACAGCTGACGTTGTGCCTTCGTATTCTAAGGCCTATGGTCCGCAGAACAAAAATGTGTATAGAGCGCGAAGGACCCACTGCTGGCGTCCAACCTGCAATCCACTTTCAAGGTTTGTTTGTCCTCGAAAATCCGTCATTCGCCCATACTTTGTCTACTCCGGCAAAAGTGATGATGATGACGAGGATGATGATGCGCTGTTTAAATTCCATTCTATGGCCCAGCAATCTAGCCTTTTCACCGGACCGTCTGTGCAATATGGGTGCTCATCTTTACATTTTCGGGTGTAAAGCTGAGTAAAGAGAACAAAATAAGTACCAAACGGTTGCTGTTGTGGTGGTTTTGTTAGTGGGTGTATCTTACCCACTAAAATGATCATGGGCCGGCCTCGATTAGCAGGAGAATATCGAAGACACCAGAGGGAGGTATTTTCTTGTCCTGCGTTGCTGCCACAGGCATCAATGCGTCGTTATGAGAAAGGCAGGGAGAGAGGGCATGGTGTCAGCAGCCTTGATATGCAGGTCTGTGGAAGCTATGTCGAGACTGCTGATGTCCAGTCGTGTGTGTTGCATCTGCCGGAGTGCGACCTGTTCAAGTGGGACTTGAACTACTGTCACCCGCTGATTGAGCGCATGTACTCATGTTTCAGTTGACCAAACTGTGGTAAAGTTAGCGTGTCTACGAGGTCGATAACCTTGATGAAGCCATGTGTTGAACAAAGACGCCGTTCTGCCCTCATTCATCCCAGACATGCGCCCTGCAAAGGCCTCTGGCCGAAAAGCGCACAGCATGTAGGGCACACAGATGCTGCCAGCCATTTTCAGAGCACGCCTGACTCGGCATGCCCGTCGTTCGCCCATACTCTGTCTACCCCGCTAGAAATGGCGACGTACTGCTGGAGTTTGATTCGTTCTGCTTATGGCCTTACCTCATCTCTGTAACATCTGCACAACGCGAGTACGCATCTTAATATTTTCGACGACAGGTAATGGTCGGACGGCCGTTGGGTAAAGAGATCACAATCTGCACGAAATGACAGTTCAACCGTCGTTTTCGACTATATCCACCGTGTGCTTCACAGCAGGGTGAGAGTAGGCACGGTGACTTGCGCGTGAATTAGTTCATAGGGATAGTAGACTTGTGCAGCATCTGCCGCGCTCTCTCCCCCTCCCGCCCCGCGTCTAGTGTCAAGATATAGCCAGGAAGACCGGAGGCGGGAGAGGGCGCAGGTGGCTGCCACGGAGATAACCTGCCAGTGGTCCATAACGTACACTGATCAGGATTTTACACAACAAGAAAAGGAGAGGGGGCGGTTCTGATCCTTAATAGTGGGGCGGGAGCCTGCACCTGGGGGCGCCGCTACACTCCGAATGTTGACCTTTGCGCACTCCCAACAACGCCTGTTGAACTCCGATGTGACCCCCGTGTTGGCTCAGGGCATCTATCGCGCGGCCCGTTTTATGGGCACATCTGCATGAAATGGTTTCTGTGTAACTCCCGTCCACCCCTCCCGGTTAACCTCTTCAGAAATGTGTGAGGCCTACTTGACGCCGATAGGTAGGGACCTGTTTAAAACAAAGTCGAGGGAACTTTTGAATGCATGAAGACATTCTAACGCGCAGCAGGATCTACAAAATTGTATCTAGAATGTTTTGCTCTCAGTCCAACCCGGCGCAACCTGAATGTTTCAAAAACTCTCCCTTTTTAGGTCTGTTGCCCTACGTAGTGCCAACATACCTCTTCGGACACTGGGGACAGATCGTGGTGTACACTATAATTGCCATTTCACTGGTGAGCAGTTGTATATGCAACCTGATGGGCATCCGATCTCTCCTTGTGCATGACGTCCTCGAAACCTACATTATGGTACGTCAGCCCTTCCAGTCCCATCTAACTGCTATTCCGCCGCGCGCGCGCGCGCATACGTCAATTCAGGAGGCATATAACGTCACACTGGTGTACGACAATCTGGGATTTTACGTTTTAATTTTCCTAATTCTGTTTACTTAAACCCTTTTTAGCCATTTAAAAAGAGGCGCTCAGCCGACGTCTGCCTCTTCTGCGACAAAAGAGTGGGCCAGTTTTCTGCGAAGTACGAAACCTGTCGATGCGGTAGCATGCTCGTGTGCACGGACTGTGAAATGGATCGGGGGTCTGTGTCCTGTCTTCTAACTCGTTCCCTATTTGCTTGAATTCATTCCGTAAAATTCGTCAGATCTGGATGAGTAGCGTCTCTCATCTTCCTGTTCTTATTCTTCTCCTGGTCCTAGTGGACAGAGAGGATCACAGCACATGCTGGTCTCCCAATACTTGTGCCTCACACACGGAGAATACCGTCGTTACCAGGATAAAATGGAGCAGAAGGGTATGGCCTTCCTCCTACTCTTCCTGGCTGTCGTGATTCTAGCGGTCGTACTGATTGCGGGTCAACCGGTAAGTTGACAGTTCCACCCACGTTCTCCTTCTCCGCGCAAGCTTATTGGTTCGTGGGGCCACAGAGTTGCACGAGCCCCAACCCCCTTTATTTACTGGAAATGTATCTGCTGCTGTTGTTACTGATTATTTTTGTCAGATATTTGATCCCGTGGACAGGGCAGAAGGCGAAAGCTGTAATTATGCGTATTTCGTTAGTCCAAGCCTAAGGTGAGCATAAAGGGCTGTGTCAGGGCATATGTCCGTGTGTGATAGGTCCTAACTGCGATGATACCGTGTTAGTCATGCATCCACACGTGGGGGCAAAGGTCGGGAAAAGGCGTGAACGGAGCTAGGTGCCCGAATACCCGCAGGGAGGGGGGGTGGGGCAACGATAGCCTGAAGGACCCCACCTAAGCGTCGGTAGACTTTGGATCGTGTCATAGGGGAATGCTGGTAGTGGGGAGGGGGGAATTTACGGGTGGGGCAGAACGCCGGACACTATGCTGACAAAATGCAAGAAAACACAAAAATGTTTTGTTTTCTGCCGAAGGTTCTACCGTATGCATTTGTATGGCAACGGAAATGAACGCGTTAATTAAGAAAAAATAAACAAGAAGCGAGAGTTCAAGAAAGTAACACAGTTTTAGTGACGGTTTGAGTTTATGGAAATTCAGTGTTGCTAGCGGTGTAATATCCGCAACGGCCTGCAAATGGATGCCAAGATAAAACCCCATGTGAAACGAACAAGAGCCTGCCGGCAGTAAAGTGGGGTCCTTCACTCTACCGTTGCCAGTCAGCGGTCGTTTGCGTGTTACGCGTGGTCTGGAGAAAAGTCTCGATTTGCTGTCATGTTTCGTTTGGGCAAGGAAAGAGAAGGCTGTTGGAGCACCGGAACCATTTGTTTATTTCTCCGACCGTTCGAGCTCGTACGGGAGTCCAGCGTCAGAGTTGACGACGGCAACAGCAGAACAAGTGACAGATATAGGGGGGTCGTTAGCCAATCAACGATCAGTGCTGCAGGTTTGGAGGCAACTGAACAGGACTCTGTGTGCGGGCACAAGGTCGATACACTGATTGGCTGAGTCCTCATTCGAGGCCCAGGCTTCAATCAACTCTCGACTTTTTCTGCTTCCGGCGTGGGCGGCTGCGGAGTTGGACTCGTGACCTGATTCGAATGTTTGGGCAGTCACCTGTGGTAATTCGTTGTGTGTACGCGATCTGTGCATGCGCTCAGTCTGACCTGTGTAATTGCAAGGACATTTTAGGCACAGGATACAATACATTACACCAGAATAATCCCTGAGATTTCGTCGGTCCTTACTTTTCATGATCCTGCTGTCCACGTTAGCTTTTGGGCGGCGTACAATTCCAACACCTTATTCTACACCAACGCCCTGGTCACATCTGCGTTGGTGTAACGGTGGCATGGATGGAACGGACTCAGCAAACCAGCCCCTGAGTACAGTTTTGCGCATTTTGCACGCATATATGAGTACGTTTGGACAATTTATGTGGAACCGAAGGAAACATTTGCTAGATCGCAGTTGGTAGCCAGAAATGGGGAAACGGACCCTAATCCTAAACTTAACCCTAACCCTAACCTCAACCTTAAACGTTAACCGTTAACCCTAACGGCAACCCTAACCCTAATCGAAATCGTAAACGTAAGCGTAGCCCTTAGACAGAGCCTTAACTGAAAAACCTAACCGTAATACTGAAACCTAATCGTACGCTCAAACCCTAACCGTAACCCGAAAACCTAAGCCTAAAGGCATAGCCCTAACCCGAAAATCGGAAACCATTAACCGGTACTCTAATCCTAACCTCAAACGTAAAACGGAAGCCAAACGGGTCAGATGTGATTATGGAGTCCCACAAAATAGCATCAGTAAACAACCCCCCCCCCGCCATCTGTAATACGGGTCCTGGCTACCAACTGCGATCTAGCCGACACATTGGCAAATTGGATTACTCGGACTATGAGGTGATGTAGAGAGCTCAAAAGTCTCAATAACCCATTTGCCTCGGCAATTAATATAAGTACCACCCCCCGAAGGCTGCTCAGTCCTGTTCATCGGTCACAGGGCAGATGAACATGCCACGACGGTCTGACCGTCGTGACTGACGAGGTTCACTGTGTGTTCCAAAACACGGTGGAAGCAGTAACGATGACTTACGAGTGAATTAGTCTGTAATGATAGAGGACTTGCCTAGCATCTACCGCACCCCCCCCCTCCTGCTCTCCCGCCGGGCTCCGGTGTCAAGACCGAAGGTAGAAGAGACCGCAGGTAGCTGGCACAACGAAAACCCGCACCTAGGCGTGCTGCTACACACCGTGACCCACAACAACTATGGGGGCGGCACGGACCCCAGCTGGCGTGGCGTGGGTCTGCAACTAGGCCTGCCACCACACCCCGAATGCTAGCAGTTGTCACGGGTGCGCATTTCCAATAATGCCTGCCGCACTCCGATCTAGCCCCTGCGTTGGCCCAGCACAGGGGCCTGACTGTAAGCATCACTCATGACGCAGAGTAATTTTTTTCCTTCTCTACCAACTTCGGTGTAGCTGGCAACTGCATCGTAGTATCTAGCCAGCAATTGTAGACGTACGCGGGGGTAACAACCTACGCCGTCCAAAGGGAACACAACATTTACTTCAGTACCGCCCATTTGGCAAAGTGAGATGCTGACTACCTGTCAAAGCGACCGCAATAGGCAGGACTGGTAGACTTTGGCTTGCCAACATACTGCACGACTCTTCAATACTACAATAAAATAGTCCAGACCACAGGGCAATCACATAGAGCTTACGGTTTCCTGGTCCTCCAAATATTATTGCAGACATTGAGAGCGAGGTGCGGCTGACTACGGTCCTATGAGGCACAGAGAGCAGGCATTGACGAAAAGCATGGTAAAGTGGGCGCACAAGCTCACCTTGTACTGCGAGCTATGCCCAGGACTGGCCAGTTCCTAAAAAATGTGGGTTGCATTGTTCACCTTAAGTGCCAGACCAAATAGCTCACCTTTCCCGATAGATACCTCCGATTATTGTGCCAGAACGTTATCCCTCTAGCTTAAGAAATCAATTCGCCTCCTAAGGCGAGTGAAGCAGGTTCATTTCTCTCGCGGCAGTTGGATCAGAAACTGCTGTTCCGGTATCCTCTGTCCTTATGGCAACATCTTTGTCAATCAAGATGTTATTAGTAGTGAAATCTGAAAAATGACTTTTAGGTGGATGGAAACATACCCTCGGCTGTGTTCTCTGCCATCGGGGGACCCTGCATAGGCTCTGTTGTTCTCCCAATCTACTGGGCCCGTCTGCACAAGAGCGGTCTCCTACTGGGCCTCTTGGGCGGCCCAATAATTGCCCTCTTGGCTTGGGTTACTCAGGCCATGACCATGGAGGACGAACTGTCAACCAATCTGGGTAAGTTTCTATACTAGTAAAGCGTGCCTCCTAAACTCTTCCAGCGTTTGCTTCCTCTGCCGGCAAGATCCTATTTCGTGGCCGTACCTGTTAGGGGTTGCGGTTAAGGGTCAGGGTTAGGCGTCAAAATTAGGGGTTGGGGTTAAGGGATTATGGTCAGGGGTTAGAGGTTGGGGTTAGGCTGGGGCTTGTCCACTGTAGGTACGCCTACAAAATAAGATCCGACCCCATTGCCTGTTACTTGTGTTGCAGAAACCTCTCCAGATGTGAGAATTAGGCTGGACACGGGAATAAGGACCCTCCCTCGTACTACTGATGGCCTTGCACTAAACTCCGAATTGATATCTATTCCCGTGTCCCCATGTTAACCTTAACCCCAACTCATACCTTAGCTCCAATTCCAAGCCCCCCCCCTCCCCCGAATTTGTCGGAAGGTTACCTACAATACGGGGAGCCCATATATTCATGCCCTATCGAAGTATATTCATACCTGGACAGTGTGATTATTCCTTTCTGGTCTTTCTCACCCTTCAAAGGGTGTAAATTATGAAAGGCGTCTATATACGCTTAGCCATCCCATGTGGCACACCCGGTGCAAGCCTCATAACTTCCTTCTAAGGACCGGTCCTGGGTTCTGGTATGCTAATTTTTAGGGCAGCCTGTAAAGGCAGTCGTGGAATCAATAACCTGAAAGTCCTGTCCAGGTTGCTTTATCACCGGTTAGCTCATTAACTGATGAAGGGAGTTCCGGCAAAGACAAGGAGGCTAAGATGACCCCTCTTGTCTCGTTAGCCGCCGCCAGCCAGTAGCATTTCAGCCTCGAACTCAGCCTCGAACTCGCGTTCCTTGACCATCAAACGTTAATTTCAGCGCTCCTACCCAGTGAGCCACGGACCCGCTGTCCTGTCGGTTGCCATGCGACTGTCCGTGAAGGCTCTACTTTGAGCCTCAAGACATAGCTGGAGGAGTAGGGCTCGTAACCCGATCGGGGGACGCAACATATGAAGCTCCATTTCCTAATCGGATCTATACAATAAGCCATCTAATTCCTCCGTTTCACGGTGTACTGTAAACTACGCATCTACTTTCACCGAGAGGCCTACACACCTGTCCTCTCGGAGAGAAGTTTATAGCATATTTCGCAGAAAAGAACGTAAGAATTCAAAATACAGCTCATGTTTTTGTCAATGTCAGCACATTCCGAAATACATGCTGTACGTGACATGCTGATATATTGCATGAACTGTGAACAGTATGAACATTTGCTTTCTTTACTACCACTGTGACATCAGCGTCGTCTAAATTTTATTTCATGAAGCGACTTTAATGAGGGTTTCCTCGATAAACATACATCAATAATGTCCTTGGACAGTTTTATTCTATGGAGCTGGCGAAGTTCCCCATAATTTTTTGGTGAGATGTGGTTTGGTAGCCCCACCTGATGGGCACAATACTGTTGGAGTTGGGGTTAAGGCTTAGCGTCAAGGGTTATGGTTAGGGGCTAGGTCTAGGGTTAGGGGTTTAGCGCAAAGATTTCTCTACCATTCAAAGTACGACGGCGCATTGCCAATAGCGTTTCGTTTGCATACAACTACTTGACCTCGTCGCCTGTGCGTTCCCTGGCCCCACCTGTAAAAACCCCCTATTACCACCGGTCCCGTGTTAGATGTGACTGAGGTTTCTTTACTTCAGATGGAGCTACATAACCACGTAGTGATAGGAAGCGTAGAGGAATATGCACGCAAACTCCACTAACTTGATTCCTAAATTATAATCCAGAAGGGTAAATATGAAAGGAAGAGTTTGCTGCACCGGAGTCTGCTAGAGCCTGACAGTAAGGCCTGGGACAATTTTGGATCCTCTCGTAGGTCACAGGTGCATCTAGCTGGACTGATTGATCTCTCGATGAGGCAGTTTCCGTCGCAAAACAGGCTGCATCGACAGGATTTTCACGCCTGTGCATAATCCTAGATCGATGGCATCGTGATTAACAAAAGAAGGATTGCCCATGCCCTTGATCTCCCCGTAACCTGTCGGCAGAAATGCACTTTGAAAGGGTGTGCTGACTGTCTAGCTGCTGGTGTACTTCATGAACTACATCCGATCGCAATCATCCGTCAAGCGTAGAGCGAGGAGAGCAAGTACTTCGTCACCAGCGCTCGCCACCGGCAAAGATGCGTTCTTTCGCCGAGACTCAATAACTGTGTAATTGATTCTGTTCTCTTGTAATGTCCGAATCGAGAGGGTCAGTAGGGATCGGAGAACTGCCATCTGCTGGAGACAATTTTCGTTTCTTCACAACCTGAGAATTATCTTGAGGTTATGAACTCGGAGCATCCAACATTCTTCACATGCAGTCTCAATCGAATCAGAACCAAGCGTTATATTTGAGTGGTATAGAAAGATTCTGATGAGGAAGTTTATTATAGCAAAGTATATTAACATGCATCAACGTCAGTAGAAGAAAAATAACGAGTTGATTTCAGGAACCAACAAGAAGGGGGCATTGATGGGAGGAGTATGTACATGTATAAGATTACATGGCTAACCCAGGAAAACATGGAAGGTAGAAAACAGACGTAAAAACGATAAACGAGAAAACGAACATAGAGCAAACGCAAATGGGACTTATCAGGTGCGTAGGTCAATGATTTTGATCGGGTCCACGCGTCGCGCTTGGTCCGCGATTCTCTACAAGATAAGTGGTCACTTATTTATAAGAACAAGTTCGGAACCTTATGCTCTATTTGGGCTGTTACACTCTCCTCGGCGTTTCGCGAAAACGACGACACCCGGCTAAACCATGAATCCTTCGTCTTAATTCCTAATTATGCCCGTGCCCCCGATCTGGCCGGAAAGTCTAACAGGAAACCTAACTGGCCTTTGAAATGCATAAACGTCAACTACCTCAGATGCTGGGAAGAACAAATTACTCATCAGAGACCTGACACCGAAGCAGTGTTCCTTTCGTGGTCGCGAAACAGTGAACTGTCTAACGTACCTCGGCTGCTCTATGCGTCCAATTGGCCACTGCCAGAGGAAGACAACCCATCACACACAATTCGCGCAGAACATGTCCGGTCGGATTTGAACTGACCCCCATGATTCAACAGAAGACCGAGTTTCGATCGTACAGGTGTACGGTAAATTTTGCCCTGTTCTTCGACTGTGAAACTTGGTGCTACGCCCTGCTGTTTCTGGGACGGGGGGGGGAGAAGATCGCGGTGACCAGGCGTGCGGAATTGCTGCTAGAGCTGTGGAGTAGGTCCCTCATAACCTTGAAACAGCTGACGGCCAGACAAAGGGGACCACAGGAGGATGTTCGCATGAAATCTGTGTGCAGTGTGAGCACCAGTTGTCGCTTGTTTTTTAGGAACAAAAAGTAAAATAGAGTGTTCCCGATGACCGCTTGTTAGTTGGCGCTCGGCAACCTGCAGGGACAGCGATCAGAACAATCAGGCCAGACGATTAAATGACAGCGATTGGACGCCTACAGGAGTGTTAAAGATGAAATCAATAATAGGCTCGGATGCATGCTCATAGGCTAGGGGGGACTGGTGGTTGTTGACCGGGGGTCCTGACAACTCCTCTTTGCTCATAGGCTGGTGTCTGACCAGACCGGACTGAGTCTAGCCTATGCGGTCACAATGACGACAATTTGGCGGTGTGTCGGCGCTGCCTTCTGTGTCATTATCGCGCCTTTGTTGCTGTGGTTCCGTTGGATGTCTGGTCAGACCGAATCCGAACGTAAACAGTTGAGTGTAGTCAAAAGCTCGCTAGCGTGTAGAGTTTTGTTTCGATGATTATGGTATTTGCTGGTGGACAAAATGAGAGCTGTTGCTAAATGCGATGGCGGGATTGATTGACTACTCGGGATCTTGGCTAAACTCTGGCAGCAGAAACTTGTCAGGATATGCTAGGTGTCGGTAGCACTGATCTACCTTATGTCGGTCTTTTGTTCTTGTTGACATTCCTCTCATCTTCTATATTCGGTCACCTTTGAGCATTCCTGCTTCAGTATGCAGGTCTTAATGTTACGCCCGGTCATCTTGTGCCAGAAAGTTTCGGCAATGTAGTAAAGCTGCCATCAAAGGGTCATTTTGACAGGTCCTCGTCAGGTCTCCTCTCCACACTGCCGCTCCATTTAAGTTGAGCCTGCTTCAAGCGGGATAAAGATGTTGGGCGCCTAGTTCCCTTAGGTGACCTGCATGTCCGGGGTTCGTCCTTGTTGCTCCTCCTCTGGAATCCCTCAGACAGCTAGTATCGAGAGGACTGAGCCTCCTCTTTGGTTGCAACTGACTGTCAAGTTTTCTGGCGGCATGGGCAATTGTTATCAGTACAACGGCTTTGTGCATCTTTGAATGAAATATTTCGCGCATTAAGTTATTAAGTGTGCCTTTTGAGGACTGTTAGTTGTTAAACACTTCTGACTACTGTTGACAGGACACTTATGGATACACCGTCTCGTTATCCGCGTAAGCAGAAAAGGAAAGTGAATCGATACTCCGTTTTCTAGGCTGTTGCTGTATTTTGAAATCGACCACGTATCGAAGTCGCCTATTCGGATTTAAATTTCAGGTCCACTTGCGGTCGAATTAAACCTTATAATGAAAACGCATAATTCTGAACTGGTCCTAGCGTTATCTCTAGGGTATAGCGGAGCGGATGCGCTCCACCGTGCAATCAGGTCATTATACCTCCTCCTTGTCGACCCAACAAATGTATTCTTATATTTACCCTGCAGATAGCGAAAAGGCACTGTTCACTGCCTCCATGACCGCCTTCGTTGCTGGCTTCGCTCTGCCTGTCTTGGTGACCCTTGGATCCACAAAGCCGTTGACGAACGAGGAGGCCCAGATTGTGTGGAGGAGACTGCAGGAAATTGACAATCCCCTTATGCCCTGGCCAGAGGTTTATTCGCAGTATGTTCACCAGAATTCGCCTTACTTCAACCGTTGCGTTCGTACTTCCTGTTTGCTTGCAAACCAACATCATTAATTCCTTCTTAATTTGCATTTCTGGCAAAAACCACCTTAAAATTCATTTTTACCCCGCGAACGGAATAGAACGCAGAAAGGAAGTGTATTGTACTCATAAACATACGGACTACTATACGTTTGTCAGTAGCACGTTAGTAATCATATAAATAATCACACGTTTACCTGGAAGAATTTTCAATAGATTAAATAATCATAGAAACGGGCATCTGAAGTGTTGACAAGTTAGGCATCCACTGAAATTGGATCTCCTTTTTCTTCAGTAGAGGTGGTTTCAATGACAAGTTGAGAGCGGTAAGCAGGATGGGCGGGGAGCCAGCAGTGAGAACCGGCCATCAGAGAATATCAGCACTACTGTGTACACCGTACATATTTCACTTTGAATCGAGTTTCCCATGAGATAAGAGTTCGACTACAGATGAGAGGACTGTAAAACGTGTTCCTCTTGTTATTCAAAAGGGAACTTGACCTCCGATACTCCTTGCATCTGAGCGAGGGGAAACCGGCTCTCTCTGAAGTGCAGCGAGCACTGCAGTTCACCAAACGTGTTACCCAACTGGGATTTTGCATCAACTTCCTGTGCTTCACTATCCTATGCCCTGCCCTCACAATGACCTCCCAGATCCTTTCCTTCGAGACACTGTCTATCTGGGTAAGTTGCTCAATTTATAATTTACTTAGTAGGAAATTCGAAACTTCCTTTCGTCTAGGACCAACCGTACGATGACGGTACCAGTCCTACTAACTTTTTTGTAAAGAAAGGCAACAGTATACACTACAGTGTTTGAGATGTGACAAAACAGCATGTGGAGGGAGGAGACGGTGAGGATTCAGAAACTTTTGAGGCCGTGGAACCCTCCTAGACGACAGCTTTTTTAGTTTGTCGAAACTTGTCTGAGATGCAAAAGCACGACCTTGCTGTTATGCAGGAGTGGCATGTGCTGACCCATTCTTATTTAGAGAGAAGATGACAACTTCACTTTTGCATTGAAGTTTAGGTTCTACAGCTCAAGTGAGCGCTGGCGTGGCGACCAGCAGTCAATAGTTGAGAATTTCTACTGACAAGCAACCCCCTCACATAGGTGCTAGACCCTCAGCTACACATCAAGACGTAACTGCCCATCCTCATTCCGCACTCAGGATAGATCGAGGCACGTCACTCCCATCTGGCTGGAGATTCCCGAGCTCAGTTGACCTGAATCACTGCCTGACTCAGGCTTATACCTCGAGAGTGAAACCTGCGATTGGTGCACCGCCGCCTGATGCCGACAAAGTTGCCAATCACATGATCCCGTCCTTGTTGGTAAAATATCTTGACAAGTCGCATGAGATTTGCCTGGCCGGGTGGGCAACGCTACCACAACAGTTTCAACCTGCTGGTCCCTGGGGGGGGGGAGGCATTACGTAGCAAGGGTATTTACTTTGGGGAGCAATTGTGCCAAAATACAATAATTGGCCTTATTTATTTGTACGCGCCGGAGGAAGAATTAAAAAGATCCTACAGTGGCTGCCGCGTGAGGGGGGGTCAGGGTGCTTTAAGAGTACAAGTACGACACTGGAATATCTTTTTGACTATGCCTGCAAAAGGGCATTACATTCATTTAGTATTATCATTAAATAATAAGACTAGTGTCCCCTTTTAATTGGTGGCAATATGAAGTATCAGAATTTGTGATGCCACAAAATTCTTGAATGTTGAGCTTTTTTGCTCAACACAAATGCTCCCCGGCGTGAGGAGCCCCAGCCATAAACCATACCCTTGCCCATTTAACCGTGGTTTCTTGAGGGTACTCCTTGTTTTGTGTAGGTCATCATTAACAGACTCAGTCTGTGGGCTCATATGGGCCATGCAACGAACCCTGACGCCTCTGCAACTGCATGGGACCAGAGATAGCCGTGCTTACCCGTTTTTCGTCAACCATCACCCTCTTCTTGCCTTCTCCAGATAACCACAATAGAGATCTGGGCAGCTGCCGCACTCTTCTTCTGCATCACACTGCCCGTCATTTTCTTCACCATAAACTACATGGAGAACAGCAAGGACGACGGTTCGAGTGTTCTGAAGAAGGCGAGACGGAAACAGCGACTGCCTTATCGTCGGACGGGCAACTGGTTCTCAAGGCTGTTGTAAGCGGAGTATTTGAATTTCGCTTCCTTCCACTGCTTGACTCACTAGCAGGTGCTAGGATAGGACCTCTCAGAGCATTCGTGCAGACAGGCGTACAAAGATCGCAAGACTGATTACTCGAAGCTGATCCCTAAATGCTGGCACTGAGTGTTTGATTGTCTAGACCGCGTGGCTAGTGTATTTCATTATTCGAGGCAAATTCTCCAAGTGTTTGTGGTAGCATCAAACCCCTGTAGGTCCCCCTTGTTCTAGAACATGTTCGATAATTGTTTGTAGGCCAGAAACGCCTTCGAGGATTTTGTGCTATGACAAAATCATCCACTAATAGCTGTTAATAATCGTGAGCTTACTTGGTAACTTGCATGCGTAAAAAGGCGCATTAAACGATACACGACAGTTCGACCGTCGATTTCGACGATGTCCACCGTGTGCCCCACAGACTGCATTGTGGGAGCAGGGACGGTGACTTGCGCAGGGGTTTATAGTGCCAGTAGACTTGCGCTGCATCTACTTACACTCTCTCCTCCTCCTCCCCCGCCTGGGCCCGGTGTCAAGACAGAGTCAAGAAGACCGGAGACAGGGGAGGCCGCAGGTGGATGGCTCGGACGGATCCTCGCCTTGGCGCTCCACTCCGCACCCCCTGGTCCACACACCAATGACCAGGATTTTGACCACAAAACAATGGGGTGTGGTCCAGTTGTGCGACGAATGCCGACAACAGGGTCCGCCAGCGCACCCCGCAAGCGTTGGCATTTGTTATTACGCAAAGATAACGCCTGCCAGAGTCCGATGTGGCCCCCGTGTTGGTCCAGCGCAGCTAACACGTGGCCCGTTTTGAGGGCAATTAAACGATACACATCCCCGCAGTCGGATTTTCCTAAATCGGCTGAGCCCACGACAACAGACTTGTGTGCAATCCGTCAGCCTTGGAGGATAGAGTCTCGGAACAGCATACCACATAAGACACAGCTAAACTTACTACTGAATCAGTTATTTTCATCGTCTAGCTCGGCCAGACAGTCGTGTAGAAGACAAAAACGCACAAATAATGCGCAAGATACTGCAGCCGCGTTCTGGACGCCGGGTCTGCATTCGCTGCAGCGACTCCCTTGCAAAGGTTTGTGTCCGCTCAACAAAGTGGAGGAAGAGCATGTATAACATTACTGACAAATAGCTCGAGTCGGCTTTTCCTTAGTCCATATAGCAAGTCATTTAGCATGAATTTCACGGTTGTCACTCGAAGTGGGTTAGAAGTCTCATCAGTTATCTTCAAATCGGGTGCAATCCCTTCTCAGAGAAGTGATAGCAACTTAATAAGCCTGACTAGCAACAACTGATTTCCATCTGCTTAGTTATTATGCTTCATAAGTTCCTGTTTCCGTTAGAAAACAGTCGGGCTGCTTTTACGTGCGTCATCGCGACATTCATATGTCCCGTTTCCAGCCTCAAGTTACCACATGCGTCTAGACGATGTTTGATGAAACAACTACCCGGGGGTCAGGCAGTCTTAATTCGTATAGACTTTGTGTCTACCAAGGATGCCTTGTCTCGGGTGTCGCAGTCCGGTTTGAAGAGGAGAACTTTTACATGATCAGCCTATAAGCAAGTTCATCAAGGTCTCCAGGGAGCCAATCAGGGCTTGCCAGGGAACCGCCTGCGTAGAAGACGTCAACAAAGAAGTCACCGTCAGACAAAAACTGGCCCCTTTCCAACCAGCATTCGGATCGAATTCTGCCTCATTCGTAATTTTTAGCTTAGCTAGAAGCTGCTTCTTGTTGGATGGTTTGCGAGGGTTGGTTAATATTTAAGAGATAGCCAATTGGACACGCAGTAGCCGAACACTGATGGTTGTCTTTGGGAGGTTAGTTTTGCATGCACATCTCTCCACCAACTGAACACATGCAAGCCCCTTGTTTGCCTTCTTCCTACCTAGTAACTCCTCGAAGCCCTATGGAAAACGGGAGTAGAAGACGGATCAATGAGGGCACATTCTAGTTTGGACACCCTTCCAAATGCGGCGTTCCTCCCACTGCTCTCCATCCCCTCAGCTGCCATCCAGACCTCTCGACGACATTGTATTTGTGTCCTCCACCCTGTTTTCGTTGTGCCACACATCCATCGACATTTGGCCCCAAATTCGATTTCTTCACCCTACGAAATTCCACTAACATCGCTCAGTCACTCCGCATTTTGACCCGATGCACGACTCTCTATCTGTCCGTCATTTGCGAAGTATAGATCAAACACTTCTCATATATCATTAAATGTTGACTGTCTTCATTTCAATAGGCACTGAAAGTTGTGATGCTTCTAGGACACTTTACCCACTGACGCCTTCCTGTCGTCAAAATACACCCAATTCACCCTTTATCCAACAAGGAGGCAAGCTTTAAATCCCAGTAAAACCCCCATTACATCCAGAATGAACTCATTAACTCCTGAAACAGAAGCTGTTCCCTCTACCAGCCATAATGTCAAATTCTGCTAGTGTTACGCCTGCGTCCAAACCAATGTATCAGTCAAATAGGGTTGGAAAAACTGCTTTGCAGACTCTGAGTAACCAGCAAGTGGGGTTAGGATATCGAACGTTGAATGCCTTTAAACACCATCGAGTGCAAACGCCGTAGGTTGGAGGAATATATCTGCTTAGGAAAAAGAAGAATGTTCGTTCTTTCCGCGTATAGTCCAGACTGCCTCTTAATCGGCCAATTTTTAAGTACAGCCAAAGCAGTGTTCGGACCCTTGTACCAATAGCCGAGGGGCGTTAGCCGAAATAGAAAAATGATCTACTGTAAATATGAACAAGGCAAAGGCGACGAAACATGCAGGATTTATTGACTCATAGATTTTCGTGACCTATTATTCAACTGCACGCGGTCAGTGCGTATTTATAAGGTAAACTGTTGAATCATAGATAGGCCTAGAGGGATGAAACATGATAGGTAAATAAATGTAAGAAAATAAGAGACAAAAAGGTAAATAGAAGGTAAGTATGAGGCCAAGAAATTTTATGACGTCAATGAATCCTGCATGTTTCGTCGCGCTTGCTTTGTTCAAATTTATTACCGGAAAACGGTGCTTCCATTTTAAGTTGTTAAGCTCTATGCAGGTAAATTTGTGACCCTGTGAAATTCGAGGGTCGGGACCGGCCGTTTTAATACTAAAAATGAAAATTTAAATTGACATACACAAGTGTCTATGGTGCTAGGAAATACGAAAAAGCTTAATTTGTTTCTAAGGCCGCCAGTTGTGTCGTCGACTACAGTTTTAGTCCATTATTCAACCGGAAGCATCGGTCTTGGTCAAAATCAGTAACGAGAGTTCCAGACGTCTCGTTCGATATCGCGTGCTAAATTGCTCTGCCTATTCGCATCCTTGATTTCCTTTTTATAACAATCTCTACTCGTCTTTGTCATCCTCACAAGCCATTTACACACTGAACGATTCCTCTTCTCACTGCTTCACATATCTTATGAATTTATTGTGACATTCCATATCAGCCTTCTCCTAAAATGGAAGCGCCAGTTTAATCAGGTCAGCAGGATTCGAAATTCAGTAAAAACCCCAATATAAAAGCATGTTGAGAAGGGGATATAGTCTACATGTCCGGAGGAAACGCTATTGACCGTAGCAGCGGCTTAAGTCCTCGAGAGACCCTAGCCACTACGGAATACAGGCTCGGTCCTGACTAGAGAAAGAATTCGGACGCTGATTGCGAGAATAGTGTGTTCTGCACAGAATTACCGGTTAGAGAGAGTTGGCAGGCGGACAGGGGAAAGAAGAGCGCCGAGAGAGCGTCGTTCCGGCTGGGAGCGGCGTGGGCGTCACGTGAGAGCACGTCTGAATCGGCCTTGAAGTGATTGGCCAGTTAGAACGCGGTGGGCGGGCGAAAACCAGGCGGTTGCTGGCGCGTACGCGCTTGCGAGAGGCACAGCATTGGAGCAGGCGCCCCGGGCAGGACCGCTACATGACCACTGTAGTGATCGAATGCACCAAGACCACACAAAAAGCTGATTTGGAGTCTACGGTGAAGCAGGCTCAATGGCTAAATATGGCCGAGAAGGGGTTTCTTCAAGTATTGACAAGTGAATAAAAGGGGTTCTGAAGTCGAAAGTTGAGTAAGTTTAAAATTCCTGGAGTGCCGATAAAGTTGACGGAGGAGCATGTCTGGCCTTTGCGTCTGCCCCCATTCCTGGTCGATTTGGCTCGGACGTGCAGCTCACACGGCCGAGGGAAGAGTTGGTTAGGCCATTCAAATCGCATACAACGTATTGGTAAGGGCACTTGCTAATTACCACGAGGCGTTAAAATTCTCAACTAGGAATATTCCCAACTGACGATAAAATGATGCGTTCTCGGAGGTGAGGATCAGTATACGACAATCCATATCAGGGTGACGTTTAAAGTCCTCTCGCGTAGCAGATGCACCACGCCGACCTACTTTGTCCCAGGCGGTCACATGTGGAGATACGGACCAGCACGTGCAAGGCAGGT